GGCCGCGGCTGCCTGCGCGAGATCAACAAGTCGGGCTGAGCTTCGGCTCCGCGCTCGCCGCGATTCTGTCCCGCACTTCGGAGCGCGGCGAGTGGCACCGAGGCGGGACGGCGCCACCTGCGGGTCGGAAACGCGCGCGGCTTAACCCCTCCGTGCCCGGCTCGGCCCTGGCCCAGGCCGCGGGGCCCACCCGGGCTGCTTGTCTGCGTCCCGGCCACCACGAAGCTGAGCGCTTACTGCATGCAGGCGCCGCACGTAGGGCGAGCGTGGGAGATACAGTTGCGAAGCCAACTAGCTTCTGGGTCCCAGGGCTCCCTGGAGAGTGAGTGACTGTAAACAGAATTGGAAGACTATGTCAGTCAGACAGGCTAGAAGCTGGGAGGATTGGAAAGCTGGAGAAGGCAGGTGGCAATTTTAAATAGCTCTTGTTTTGATTCCATTTCAGATTCTAAACAATCAGATTCTAGAGGAAGGTGGACATTGCACCTATTGACAAACAAACACGCAAAAGAGGTGGGTGGGCAGCTGGGTGGTAACTGCGGAGGAGAAATATAAGGCCAGGTGAAGGGCCACGGAAGACACGGAGCTTGCCTGGCCTGGCCTGTCACTCACCCATTCGTGCTAACTTGGACAGCTGCTTTTGGACTGCTGAGGGTCTGGCTCAACCAAGAGATCCATCCACTGCCCCTGCCTCACCCTGTGCCGTAGGGCAGGCAGACTCAGGAGTGACTGTAGGCAGGGTTGCATGCAGAAGGCGCCAGGCCTCCCTCTGTCAGCCACACTTGCTTGGGCCCTGCTGTTTGAATGAGTTGGAGATGCAGAGAACCTTGCCCTGGAGGGAGGAAACTTAGTGGGCTATGGTGCCCTGAGAAAAGGGCTTCCCCTCTCCACCTTGGGTTCCTTTCCACTGCATCATACAGAACTGTTTGTAACCCCCCATCTACTCTGGTCAGTTCCCCTCCAGGCTTCTCTCCCTGTGGCCTCTGCTCTCAGCTCCTCCAAGGCAGCCTCCTACAGAGCCATGCGGCTGTCTGAATGAATGTCTCATTTCCCAAACTGAGTGTGGTTGTCAAAGGAGACGAGCCTTCCCAGGGTTTTCCCTTGCTCTGATAGTTCTGGTTCAGTCCCTTCCTCCTCTTCTCAGCTTGCCCACCACAGAAGAAAGACAAGCATCTAAATGCATTTCTTTTTGATTGTTTGTTTTAAATGAGAAAGCTTCGGCCAATCATGAGTGCTACCAGGGAATCATGGGGCAGGGGTGGTTTTGCTGAGGGCTTAACCTAGGAGCTCAGCGGGGCCTCTCAGAGATGGAGGACAGACTCCACAGGTAAGAATGGAGTTAGATAGATACGGGGAGACAAGAGGGAGGTTCCACGAAGAGTTTGCCCAGGCTAGAGGCCAAAGGCAAATGAGGGATGGCCACATGTTTCCCTGGCCACCACAGGAACAGCATAGAAAAATGCAAGACTAAGCACTCGGGAGGCAGAGGCAGGAGGATCTCTGTGAGTCTGAGGCCAGCCTAGTCCACAGAGCCCGTTCTAAGACAGCCAGGGCTACACAGAGAAACCCTGTCTCGGAAAACAACAAAAAGAAAATGTAAGATTTGTTTTCCTTCCTATGTGTGCCTAGGTGTGTGAGCGTTAGGATTAGTGTCGGGGCTATTTCAGAGCAAGCTGATTAGATCCATTCTTTAATATATTTGATATATAAAACGTTCTATATTTGATATAGAAAACATGTGATCCTATCAGTTCTGTTCCCCCAGAAAATCCCAATTTATAGAGGGCACATCCATAGGGAGGTCAGAGGTCAACCTCGGGCATGTTCCTCAGACGGCACCCATCTATTTAGTTATTTTATTTTGAGATAGCTCTCTGATTGACTAGGAACTCTTCAAGTGGGCAGGGCTGCCTGGCCAGTGAGCCCCAGGGATCCACCTGCCTCTGCTGCCCCCGCCCATATGGACATGAACATACAGGGAATATGAACATACACTGCCACGTCTGTTCTGTTGTTTGTTTTGGTTTTTAAGTGTGTATTCTGAGGATTGATCTCAAGAGTGCTGGTGGGGCAAGTGCCTTGATGACAGCCCTGTCCTCAGGTCCCCCTACTTCCTCTCAGACCACACTCCCTACCTCATCGGCAGTGGCTGTTAGCTACTGAGAGGATATTACAGTTTTTGTTTGTTTGTTTTTCTATGTGATCTTGAAAAACAATTCATACTTTTTTGCTGTTGCTACTATTTGTCTTGCCCTTTTCTCCCAGAAAATATTTCAATGTATAGCCTAGGCCGGATTTGAACTCACCATGTTGTTGATCTAATCCGTCTGAGTGATTACAAACCTGGATTACCTGCCTGCACCACTGTGCTTGCCTCAACTTACCCATGTGCTCTGTTCTGTAACTCTGACTTTTTTCTATTTTATTTTATTTTATTTTATTTTATTTTATTTTATTTTATTTTATGTTCATTGGTATTTTGCCTGCGTGTATGTCTGTGTGAGGGTGTTGGAAGCCCTGGAACTGCAGTTACACACAGGTATAAGCTACCTTGTCGGTGCTGGGAATTGAACCCAGGTCCTCTGGAAGAATAGCTAGTGCTCTTAACTGGTGACCCACCTCTCTAGCCCCCATGTTGCTTCTCATCTTCAGGAGGTCTAGTCATGGCGATGTGGGTTCACCAATCTACTGGCTTTCCCAGTGTGTGCCTCCATCACTGACACTCACACTAGTCCTTGGACTCAGTAAATGTACCTGAGAACAACCTCTCACATCAACTCACAGACCAGCATAGAGATTTTTTTTTCCAAGACAGGGTCTCATAGCCCAGGCTGGCCTTCAACTCAGCTACAGAGCCAAAGATGATTTTGGATTTCTGATCCTCCTGCCTTTATCTCCTAAGTGCTGAGATTACAGGCATGCACTACCACACCTGGTCTACACAGCCCTAGATTAAACCCAGTTCTTAGTGCATGCTAGGTCAGTGCTCTATCAACTGAGTCGTGTCCCCAGCCCTGATGTGATGGCTTTGTAAACATGCTGCGTATGGCTTTGGAACAATGTATCCCAGAGTGTATACACTCTTAACTAAGTGCTCCAGGATGCCACAGCCTCTGGTGACATCTCCTCTAAGTGCTGGGAGTCCTCTAGCCAGTCATCGCCTCCATTAGCTTTTATCCGAGAGTAGAACATTGGCTTTCCAAGTGCGTGCCAGAAATGTCCCTGTCATTGACTATTAATGAATCTCAGGTTTGCTTCCAAGGCATTGGAGTTCGTGTGTGTGTGTGTGTGTGTGTGTGTGTGGTGTGTGGTGTGTGTTTGAGCTGTTGTGGTGGTGATGTAAGTGGCTTTTGTGGTAGTTGTTACTGTTTTTGTTGTTGTGC